GGATGGGAATCAACGGTTAGGGGAAAAGGCAGGAAAGTGGAATTAAGGGTTATCAAATCAGCCATGATCCCGTTGAATGGTGGAATGGATTCAATGGGCTGAATGGCCAACTTTTACTCCTGTGTCTTATGGAATTAGAGCATGGGGTTAGATAGAGAATGATGTTTCTCTACTCTTTTAAACAGAAGGTAATGCTTTCTCATCAATGTCCCCCATCAAACACTGCCACAACAGGGACAGCACAGGGTTAGATACAGAGTAAAGCTCCCTTTATACTGTCCCTGTTGAACACTGCCAGGACAGGGACAGCACGGGGTTAGATACAGAATAAAGCTCTGTGTGTGCCTATATATCTACTGATCAAGTTCTTCAAAGTAGTCAAAGTCATGCGTTTGGAAGGTGCTGCCTGAGGGTCTTTTGTGAATTTCTGCAGTGCATCTTGTAGATAGTACACACTGCTGTTACTGAGCGTCGGTGGTGGAGGGAGTGGGATGTTTGTGGATGTGGTGGCAATCAAGCGGCTGCTTTGTCCTGGATGGTGTCAAGCTTCTTGAGTGTTGTTGGGGCTGCACTCATCCAGGCAAGTGGGGAGTATTCCATCACACTCCTGACTTGTGCCTTGTCGATGATGGACAGGCTTTGAGGAGTCAGGAGGTGAGTTACTAGTTGCAGTATTCCCAGCTTCTGACCTGCTCACAGGGTCGTAGAGTCATACATCACTGGCCACATGCTGGCCATAATCCCAAAGTAAACTAGTCCCACCTGCCTGCTCCTGGCCCATATACCTCCAAACCTTTCCCTATTCACGTACTTATCTACACGTCTTTTAAACATTGTAATTGTACCCACATCCACCACTTCCTCTGGAAGTACATTCCACACATGAGCCACCCTCTGAGTAAAAACATTGTCCCTCAAGTATTTTTTAAATCTCTCTCCTCTCTCCTTAAAAATATGCCGTCTACTCTTGAAATCCCCATCCTTGGGGAAAAGACACCTACCGTTAACCTGATGTGTATCCTTCATGATTTTATAAACCTCTATAAGGTCACCTCTCAACCTCCTGTGCTCCAGTGAAAAAGTCCCTGCCTATTCAGTTTTTCTTTTTAAACTGAAGTCCTCCATTCCCAGTAATATCCTGGTAAATGTCTTCTGAACCCTCTCCAGCCTAATATTGTAGCCGCTGTGTTTATGTGGCGAGTGCAGTTGAGTTTCTGGTCAATGGTAACCCCCAGGATGTTGACAGTGGGGCATTCAGTGACGGTAACACCACTGAATGTCGAGGGGCAGTGGTTAGATTGATAGAATGAATCAAACTCTTCAGCAGGTTGTGACAATTTGCAGTTTGAGTGGAATCACCAATGATTTGTTTGTGACTGGCAGTGTGATTTGTACAACATTATCTGTGTAACAAGTTCTGGCCTGGTTGTTGCCTTTGTTGGAGAGTATGGAATGAGTGGTTATTAAAGGAAGAGAGTTTCTCATCATTAGGAGAAGCCTTTTCTCTGAGAATGTGCAGAGTGCTCCTTGCAGGGGGTGCATAGAGGAGCAATCAGTGTTTTTTTGAGGGTAACCTTGATAAAGACACGAGGGACGTAGAAGAAGAAAACAACAGGACATTGGTTCAGCCACTTCTGGAATACTGCGTTCTGTTCTGGTCTCCCTGCTATAGGAAAGATGCCGTTAAACTTGAAAGGGTGCAGAAAAGATTTATAGGATGTTGCTGGGACTGGAGGGTTTAAGCTATAGGGAGAGGCTGAATAGACTGGGGCTATTTTCCCTGGAGCACCGGAGGCTGAGGGGTGACCTTATATAGAGGTTTATAAAATCATGAGGGGCATGGATGGGGTGAATAGTCAAAGTCTTTTTCCCATGGATGGGGAACTCACAACTAGAGGGCATGGGTTAAAGGTGAGAGAGGAAAGATATAAAATGGACCAGAGGGGCACTTTTTCACACAGAGGGTGGTGTGTGTATGGAATGAGCTGCCAGAGGAAGTGGTGGAGGCTGGTACAATTACAATATTTAAAAGGCATTTGGCTGGGTATATGAATAGGAAGGGTTTAGAGGGATATGGGCCAAATGCCGGCAAATGGGACTAGATTAATTTAGGATATCTTATCGGCACGGACGGGTTAGACCGAAGGATCTGTTTCCATGCTGTACAGCTCTATGACTCTCTGAGTAACAGATCAAAATATTTCAAACTGTGCTGTTCAGAGATGTTTTTGCACAGCTTTGGAGCAGGTGGTATTCAAACCTGGGATCACCTAGCTCAGAGGGAAAGACACTGCCACTGCACCACAGCGACCCATTAGAACACACCATTATTTGCACACAGCCAATCTCAGTCAGACAGGATGACCAAAGTGCAGGAGGATTGCAAAACACTAGCATGCATCAGATGGGTTGAATGGCCTGGTAGTGAGCAGAGTGTAAGTGTGTGATTTTTGTCATTGCCAGTCATTGCCAGTGTAGTTCCTCATGAATCCATTCCCTCTGTTTACAGCTTTTTAACCTATCTGAGCAACGCTATGACATCAGCAAACTCAACCCCAAGGTAAGACAAGAAGGATCCCACGTGGTTGGAAACTTTCATCACTGAAATCGGGGGTGTGGAGGGGATGGACGGGGTGATGATGCAGGGGTGGAGGAGTTGGGGGTGGAAGGGGTGAGGGGTTTGAAGGGGTTGGTGTGGGGGAGGAGGGGTGGTGTGAGGTGGAGTGGTGGAGGGAGGTGGTTGAGGTGGAGGTGAAGAGGGAGGGGGAGGGCGTGATGTGGAGGTGGATGATGGCTGTCTCTCTGGTGGAAAATACAGCCACAGCAGCTCACAGAGCAGAACAGTGCAGTGCAGTACAGTACAGTGCAGTACAGTACAGTGCAGAACAGTACAGTACGGTGCAGCGCAGTGCAGTACAGTGCAGGGCAGTACAAGACAGTACAGTACAGTGCAGTGCAGTACAGTACAGTGCAGTACAAGACAGTGCAGTACAGTACAAGACAGTACA